CCCTGGATGTCTCTTATCCTCTTTCCTGCTTTTTCAAGCTCTAAACCTCTCACATAAATTACTGCAAAGCTTATTAGTATCATCAAAAATTTTTGCTGTCTTCCCATTGCCACTAAAATCATGAGTTGGAAGTCACTCTTCTCAAAAACTTACTATAAGATTAAAGTCCAAATACCCTGCTGCCATGTATTCAAGGCCTTCCAAGGATTAGCCCTAAATTATTTCTAGCCTTATTTCCTTCAAAAAATTCTATGCTCCAGATTACGCTAGTCTTTTCTTTCTTCAACATATCCTTCATCTCCACTTGTGTTTTTTTGTTAAATATGTTTTTATTGATTTCAGAGAAGAGAGAGGAGAAACGTCGATGATGAGAACTATTGATCGGCTTCCTCCTGCACGCCCCACACTGGGGATCAAGACCGCAACCTAGGCATGTGCCCTGCCTGGGAATTGAACCATGACCTCCTGGTTCATAGGTGGACACTCAACCACTGGGCCATGTTGGCCGGGCTCCACTTGTTATTATCCATGCTGTGATTTCAGCCTAAAACAGAGTTTGCAAGCTGGTAGACCCTAAATTTTTTATTTTTTGGCCCACATGCATTTTTAAAAAGAAATTGAACCAATGTTTAAGTTGTGAGATTCAGCATAAACATTAGGAAGAGCAAAGTTCTTGAAATATAAGATTTGGCAATACTGGGCCCCTTTGCTTGTTAGCAGCAACCAACCAGAGCTGCACTGCCAGCTGCCCCATTCTCTCAGGGCACATATTCGTCACCAACCAGCTTTAAAAGATCTCCCTGCAAATGTACAAGATCAGGCTAGTGGCAGGACAACTGGGTCTGTCTCCTGATGTTACACAACATAAAGAACATCTTTCCTGTGATATCTTCTACCCCCAGACTGTTTAACTTGAATCTCTCAGACTCTAGATCTAATTCTGTTTAGCAAAAATATCAGCTAGAGACTCACAACGGTTCTCAATCTGTGGGTCGAGACCCCTTGGCAGTCGAACGACCCTTTCACAGGGGTCGCCTAAGACCATCCTGCATATCAGATATTTACATTACGATTCATAACAGTAGCAACATTACAGTTATGAAGTAGCAACGAAAATAATTTTATGGTTGGGTCACAACATGAGGAACTGTATTTAAAGGGCCAGAAGGTTGAGAACCACTGAGCTGGAGGAACAAGTTGAAGGACACTGTGAAAAAAGTCTGTCAAATACAAAAGAGCATTCTCGAGGACAACTGGCCCAACCTCTTCAATAAGTTCGTGTTACAAAAAAAAAAGTGTTGGCCCTGGCTGGTGGTTCAGTGGTTAGAGAGAGCATCAGCCTGCACACTGAAGGGTCTCAGTTCGATTCCCAGTCAAGTGCACGTACCTGGGCCTGGGTTGCAGGTTCACTCGCCACACCCGGTGGGTCGCAGTGTGTGTGTGTGAGGTGGGAGGCAACCAATCAATGTATCCCTCTAACATCCATGTTTTTCTCTCTCTTCCCCCTCATCCCTCCTTCCAACTCTCCCTGAAAAGCAATGGAAAAAATATCCTCAGGTGAGGATTAACAAACAACAAAAATGTTCCAAGAATCCAGATTAGGAGAGAAAAAGAGTCAAGACACATAACGTGGTGTAATGCATAGTTCTTGGCTAGGATTCCAGATTGGACAAAAATTAGCTCTAAAACTTCTTGGGATAGTTGGGAAAATGTGAATATAGATTTGTATTAGGTCAAGGACATATTAATTTTAAGAGGTTATTTTGGCAATGTATAAAATGTTGATTTTTAAAATCTATGTACTGAAGTAAAAAATTAAAACAACCAACTTGCTCTTCGACTCATACTTTTTACCTTACAAGTTTAGAATGGGCCCTGGCTGGTGAGGCTTGGTTGTCTGGGTGTTCTCCCGTGCACCAGGAGGTTGCTGGTTCTATTCCTGGTTAACAGCACACTCCGTAGGGGGTGTACAGGAGGCGGCTGATTGGTATTTCTCGCATGGATGTTCCTCTCCCTCTCCCTTCCTCTCTCAAAATCAAGAAACTACTCTTTAAAGAAAAGTTTAGAATGGGTTGGTAAATTCGTAAAAGACCAGAAAACAAATAGTTGAGGCTTTGTGGGCCATAGTTTTGTGCAACTCAACTCTACTGTTGTGATCTAAAACAGCCATAGACAACATGTAAACAAACAGGCATGGCTGTGTTCCAATTTTTTAAAAATATTTTTTTATTGATTTCAGAGAAGCAGCAAGGGGGAAGAGAGAGACACAGAAACATCAATGATGAGAGAGAATCATTGATCGGCTGACTTCTGCACGCTCCACACTGGGGATCGAGCCCACAACCTGCGGAAGTGCCCTGACCGCGAATCGAACCATGACCTCCTGGTTCATAGGTCAATGCTCAACCACTGAGCCACACTGGCCGGGACCAATACATTTTTTTTTTTTTTTTTTTTTACAAAAACAGCAGGATGTAAGTTTGCCAAACTCTGACCCAGGAACAAATACCACTTCTCCTGAAAAAGTCTTTCCTGGTGCCCATCACAGTCAGTGGCTTTATCTTCCTTCCCTCTGCTTACATATTGCTTGTGAAGCCACTTCTGGTATTTATTATGTCTTATTATATAATCATCTCCACTAGGGAGTAAGTCTAGAAGGTAGATGCCATTTTGCTACATGAACTCCCCCATACCTACCCCAGTGAGTTCTTTGCAGAATCGTCTGAATATTGTTTCCCAAAACCAAATCTACCCTAAAAGGAAGGTTTGGGACCATTCATGATACTGAAAAATGAGCAGTAGGTTCTGAAAGTAAATTTGAAGGAAACTCGGGGGGAAAAGCACTACTGGTATCACTAGAGTACATATATCGCCTCTTATGCTCTATATTGTAATGTGTTCACCACTAATTAATGATCAGACCTGTGCGTGTGAAAGTATAGAAGAGGATAAAAAAAAGTAGTAGAGATTCAGTTGGCACAGGAATGCCCTGATGCCCACCGCGCTTACTCCCACTAGAGTATCTAGAGTACTATTAGATTTACAGTTGGTACATGATAGTGCCAACAAATTTAAAATGTAACACTCAAGGAAAAGAACACTTCCTTTTTCTCATGAAGGGAGAAGGTGGCAGCAAACGCCTACAGAAGTGTCTAGAGGTCTGACAACCACAGCGGGCTGTTCCAGGTTCCCTTCCTCACATTGGCTTTCTCGGTTAGAAGGCATTGGGGGTAGAGGCTTCCCTGCCTACGATGGAATCCCAGATTCCAAAGCAAAGGTAGAACGACAGAGAAAGGTACATGAATAACTTCTGTGGGAAGTGTCCCAACCCCAGGAACAGAAGACATGGAATTAGGGGTGGAGGCAGACCCTGGAACAAAACAAAATTCAGATCACTGGAGAGAGTGTTGGCTGCTACAGAACAGGGGACAGGAGGGAAGGATGTAGGAGAGCGCTCAGGGAGAAGATGTGAGGTGCCCACTAATCCCAGACAGACAGCCTCTTAAAACAGAGGTTAGTTCTAAGAAAAGGATAGGTTACAAAGTAAGAAAGAAGGGGAATTAAGGTGAGAAAAAAGGCCAAAGCAGGGGAGAAGTTTTACAAGAATGGGGAGTAATATTGAATTAAGAATTTAGAGTTGAGTGAAAGGTTTATTACTAGTGCAGTCGACACGATGGAACAGCACATGTAACACAACCAGCAACCTGCAGAGACACTAGAGCAAAGGGTGGGGAGGCCTGAGCTGAGCTTCCTGGCTCCATCCGAGGGTGATGACAGGAGGGATGGGCCTTGGTAAGGCTGGCAGGGGCCGCGGGGAGTGGAAGAAATGTAGTAACCAGATTAAGTATAGCAGCGTTTTCAAATTCCTGAGCACAATGTCCTGGAGCTGGAACATATGACTGCTCCCTACTCCCTTCAAGCTGTAGCCCTCCAATCCAATCCCAGTGGAGCCATGACCAACTATAGGGGTCCTCAAACTACGGCCCGCGGGCCACATGCGGCCCTCCGAAAGCATTTATCCGGCCCGCCGGGTGTTTTTGCCACCGCTGTGTGCATAGGAATTTGTTCAGTTTTTTTTTAAACTATAGTCCGGCCCTCCAACGGTCTGAGGGACAGTGAACTGGCCCCGTTTAAAAAGTTTGAGGACCCCTGACCCAGACCTACAGCAAGCTGGCCTGGACTGAAACTCCAAAAAGAGAAGCTGTTAGAAGGCCTTCTCTCTTCAACCCCACTCCCACCTACATATTAAAATACTCACACCCTCTACCCTCCCCTTCTCTTACTCTGCAGTCACCCTAGGGCAGTGATGGCGAACCTTTTGAGCTCGGCGTGTCAGCATTTTGAAAAACCCTAACTTAACTCTGGTGCCGTGTCACATATAGAAATTTTTTGATATTTGCAACCATAGTAAAACAAAGACTTATATTTTTGATATTTATTTTATATATTTAAATGCCATTTAACAAAGAAAAATCAACCAAAAAAATGAGTTCGCGTGTCACCTCTGACACACGTGTCATAGGTTTGCCATCACTGCCCTAGTGGGTCAAGGAATGCCTGTGGAGTCTGAAATGGAGCTGCAGTCATTCAGGGGCGTGGGTGAGACAGAGTATTGTCTGTACTCAGGGACAAAGGCATAATTTCTGCCCCATCTTGCCTGGTGAAGCTTAGAACCCAGCAATATGTCTCCAAGGAAATGGGGTGGTTTCTTCAATTAATATTCTAAATCCAAAGTTTTATGATGAGACCCGGGAAGGGCCGGGAGCAGTTCCCCAGAGGCTCAGGCATCGGTGCTGCCTGTCACATCCATCCCTGGAAGAAAGGAAGCTCATCTCAGAGTGGGTTACGGAGTGTTGGAGCCGACATAAGTTCCGCCAAGGACTCCCTTGGCCCTTCCTACATTAAAGCCAAAGGTTGTGCTGAAAAGGAAAAATATAAAATAGACCCCACCCTGTCCCACCCTATTCAGAATCCCCACCATAGGAACAATAAAAGAAAAATTTTAAGTTTTGTTCATTTTTTTCTTTTTCCTTTCTTTAAAAAAAAAGAAGTAAATAAATTAAATTGCCAACAATGTGGCTGGGCTGGAAAAGTGGGGTAGCCTTAAGTAGGCCATTCTTAAAAAAAAAAATGTGGGAGGGAGTGAAATATAAACACACCACAATGGCCAAAGGGAATTATCAAAATGACTAGTTCAATCACAGGGCTGGAGGGGCAGGGAGCTACTATGGCCTGTGCCACAGAGGCAGGTGCCTACCTGACTTCAGCAAATGCCAGAGAGCTGCTTCTTGCTGAGCAGATTCACCCCAACAGACTAACCCCCTACGCCCACTCCTGTCATTCCTTAACTAAGAGAAAGTATAGGAAAGAAGAGCTCATCTGGAAATTTTCGGCATCCCAACCTGCACACCTGCAGACCAATGGGAGCCTGCACCTTTAAGATGGACTAAACAAGGTATTGCTTGGCACAGAGTTCCAGTCTTCCCCTAAGGGCCATCAATGATGGCCAGTTACTGGCTCATTACTTCTAGGGTTTTGGTTCCACCCTTACTATTTCTTCAGGATGTCTGCTCCCCAGAGCTGCCCGCTAAGTGTTTAGAGTCAACAGGCCTGCCTGCTCAGATTCCCTGGTTTGAAGAGGGGAATGATTCAAAATTTCTCACTCCACCCTGATCCTTCAAGAGAAAATGAGTATCTTTGTGCTTTCTGAAAATATCTGGAACCAGGGACCCTAGGCAGGAAAGTGGATATAGAATGGGGACTTTCCCAACCAGACTGAAAATTTACAGACATCTTAGGGGAAGGAATTAGGCAAAAGAAGGGAACCTGGGTTTCCCACCCGCAAGGCTGAGCAAAGTGTTCCAGGGCCCCTCAGTGCCCGAAGAGCAGGGAGATGTGTGGCTCAAGGATAAGCCACAAGATTAAGGACAGGGGGGAGGACTCAGGGCTCAGCTACTGGAGTGATGAGATTTTCTGATTTCCATCTCTTCCTGACAGCCCGCCGGGATCTATATCTCTTCAACACCATGGGCAAATATCATGACGAGCCCCGGCTCCTGCACCATGTCATCGCCCATATGCTGGTTCTCACAGGCCATCACGACAACAGCCTGCTTGCCAGGGATGCGTTTGGCCACATAGTTCTCATAGTACCGCCGGTTCATCTGTCTTGTCTCTAGTGTGGCCAGACCCTGGGGCCAGCTTCGCTCATGGGCATTTTCTATCAGCTCGTTGACAATAGAGGCAGGACAGCCACTCTCCACCAGGGAGCGCTTGATTACAGCCTGGAGGACAGCATCTGGGGTGGAGATCATCCCTCCCCAGCGGGTCACTCTTGCTGGCTGCAGGGAGTTCACCCACCTGTGTGGAGGGAGATGGAGGTGGTCATTCCAGCTCACTATCTATCTCTGCATTGCTTCTTTCCCTAATAGGAACCACCACCCTCTCTGCGCTTAGCTTAACCCTATTCTTCCTTCCTTCCTTCCTTCCTTCCTTCCTTCCTTCCTTCCTTCCGTCCATCCATCATTGGTTCACAAACTCCTAATCTGTCCCTAGTTGGTCCTATCTGAGTCACCATATGTTACTCACCAGATTAAACTCCACGAGTATAGGGTCCCTATTATTTTTCTTAAAAATCCCAATACTTAGAGCACACATAGTGCCTGGCATGTACTAGGTGCTCAACAAACGTTTACTGAAGGAAGCAATTATTCCTCTATACTATGTCCCCTGCAGCACTATTTGCACTAGATATATCGATTCAGCCTTAACAGTTTAGTCTATGAGATATACAGGACTCCAGAACTGAAAAGGATCTTACATTTTGCTTGTTTACTTCATTTCATTTATAGATCACTTTCCTGGATTTGCACTCTCTTTTCTTCTCTGGATTGTAAACTCTCTAAAGACAGACAGTATCTTCTATTTCTTTTTGGCCCTCCTAGCACTCTACAGCCTTTAATACAGGGTTTTCTACATGTGGGTATTCACCTAATTCTGGAGAAACTGCATCCTTGGGTAAGCTTTCCCTTCCATCCACCCCCAAAAAGAAGTCACAGACTGGCCTGAAGGTGACCCTCTTCTCCTCTACCCCTGTCCTTCATCCCAACATCTGAAAAGCGGTGGCCCCAGCCCAGCCCTCCTATCATCCTTCTCTGCCACCCCCCTGCTCTTCCTCCTTTCAGGGCTCAGTGCCAGGATGTGGAGGAACTCCACGTCCTGAATGACACTCACTCTAGGATCTCATTGTATTCAATTGTCTCCTCCAGGTTCTGAAGGTTGGGGTTGACACTGCGGATTGCACGCATGTATGCCTTCAGCAGCTGGATGTCTCGCTTCTGTTGGAGAGAAAGAGAACCAGCGATGATGGTTAAGGCAGAGAATAGATGACAGACAACAGTTTATCTGAGAATGGGGGCAATTGAGAGATCAGAGGAACTACCAGACTGTAAGCTTCATGAAGACAAGGATATGACTGTTTCATTCACAGGTGTATCCTGTGCTTAGCAAAGTGCCTTCACAGAGAAGGCATTGGATTAATGTTAGGTGAATGAATGACAGTGAGGGGATGACGGGAAGGGAGAAGAGCTCCAATCTGACTCCCTACTAGGCCGCAGGTAGAGTATCTACTCAGCCAGGTGCACAAGCACAGGCACAGATCTGCAGCTCACATGGTGCTTATCATTCACAAGCATGTGGTTCTTTGCATACTAGGGACATGCTTTCCCCATGTTCCTCGGGCCCTACCTGCTCCGACAGCTGGTGTTTGTGTTCAGCCGAGGACTTCTCCAGCTCTGCGATGCGTGTCTGCTGCTGCTGTACCACTGAGCGCAGGTGTTTAACGCAGTTGTGGTTTGGCAGCTCATCTTTGGGCATCTCCAGGCTGCCACCCCGGGTGGGAAAAGAGAACAGGAGCACTCAATGGGACATGTGGGCAAAGGCAGAAGCTTGCTGAGAGGGCTTTCTCTTACCCCAAATTTCCAACATTCATTCATTTCTAACTTCAGTCTGCCCTCTTATTTCTCTTCACACACTTCTCCCCAGTCCCCCCCTCACCCCTTCACTGTCTACTTTCTCTGGGCTTCTTTCCCTCTCTAAGACAGTATTTTACCTACCACATGGCTCTCTTTTCCTTCTTCAGATTCTGCCTGTGCATTCATTCATGAGAAGCCCTAGATTCACAGTCCTGGCTATTGGCATTTAATCAAATATTTCACACCCCCAAAAAGGGAGAAAATAGGGTAAGAGGAAATATGAGAAGGCTGGAAATTAGAGCAGTCAAATGAACAAAGAGAAAGTAATAATGGACTGAAACGTAAGAATAAAGTAAATCAAGTCTTAGTGTTATCACACAGATGGCTGAATTGCTGTCTCCCTTATATTAAAGCAAGAGCAAAAAGATCGTCGTTGGAAAAGCAGCATGAAAGTGAGATCTTGGGGCAGGAAGCCAGGGAGGCCAAGAACACTCCTTGCAGTGCCTATATGCACCTTAACAGTGAGCAGGGGACCCAGAGACTGGGGGATAAATGGGAATGCCCTGATCCATGTGGGCAGAAGGGAAAGAATCTCACCCGCAGCCCTGTTCACAGGTCACAGGCCGTTTTGGGTTGTGCTCACAGTCACTGAGGTGAGACATGAGGTTATCAAGCCGAACAACAGCACTACAGCCAAATACAGCGTTGTCGCAGGCAATCTGCAGCTTTGACAACATGTTCCGCATGATCCGAGGTACTGGGCGCAGGTGGGCAACCGTCACTACGCTGCGGTCCACCGGACACGTCTGCTGCTGAGAGAACCACTGGGTGATGCAGGCATTGCAGAAAGCATGCTCGCAATGAGGTGCCTAGAGAGAGAGTAGGGCAAAAGGACACGAGAGAATTAGCAGGAGCTAAGAGCCTATGTATGGTAACTGGAAAAGCCAATCAAGCCTCTGAGCAGCTCCCAGGCCCAGCGGTTGCTGGGGTCAGAGCAGAATATAGCTGCACTACGGGCAAGCAAGGTATTATGGGGACAAGCTACAGATATGTGTCCTGTGCTCACGATTCCAATTGGATTGTGACAAAAGACAAACAAGTAACAATAAGTTATGTAACAATATAAATATCCCAGGACAATAGGAGAGGTGACGTGAGGCAGTCAATTAGTAATTGCCAACTGGATTGCACATACAATAATTACCAAAGAAATTCAGAGGAGGGTGATCCAAGCTAGGCCAATCAGGGCAGGTGTTTGTGGAGAGGACAGAGTTCAATATGGGCCCTGAAGGATAAGGAGGGTGAGGGCCAGCAAGAGATTTACTGGCAAAAATTCAATGTAAGAAAGCAAAACAAAACAAAAGCCTGGACTCCTGGTGAGAGGTTGAGAGTCCTCTGTGTGGGCCCAAGTTCATATTTTGGAGGGCTGCTTTGTCCTGAGTCCCAATGGCTATGCCTACCTTCCAAAACAGGGCTGGTTTTTCATAGAATCACATTCTCCTCAGTTTCATTAAGATCATACTTCAGCCTACTTCCTGGATAACTCAGGTAACCTCTAAAGTTAATCCCTCAAAGCGAGAGGATTCTCTGGCCTCTACGGAGACACTATCTAGCTTCTAGCATGGGACAAACATAGTAGCGTTTAGCAAATGTCAGTAGATGCTGATGGATTGATGGATGGATGGATGGATGAAGTGCCTTCTACGTCCCAAACACTTTGCAAGGTGCGTACAATAAAAAAAGACAGTTTCTGCCTTCAAGATATTCACAGACACCAAAGACTGAAACACAGAGGCTTTGTAAGGAAAGAAGTCATTGTCAGTATCACTAATCCAATTGTCAGATTTTTTTTCCACTCAGATATTTCTTTCCAAAATCTTAGAAAACCGTATCTCCAAAAAAACTTAAATCTGTCAACTTTCCCCCCATCTCTACAGCAACTAACCCAGTTCAAGTGATCATTTCTCACCAGTATTACTAAATATGTCTTTAACTTCTATCTTGCCCCTTTATATTCCACTAGAGGCCCAGTGCACAAATTTGTGCACGGGTGGGGGCCGGCCAGCCCGCTGATTGGGGTGGGCTTGTCGAGGGGAGGAGGAGATGGCGGGAGGTTGGCCCACCAGCCCGCCCCAAATGGGGGGGGGGGGCGATTGGGGGCCAGCAGCCTGGAGGAGGGGCCATGGGTGGTTGGCTGGCTGGCCCTGCCCCTGATCAGTGTGGGGGGGCCCACTGGGGACAGGGGCCGCAGGAGGTTGGCCAGCCTGCAGCACTCCCCTCCCACCCTGATAGGGCCAGTTTGCTGGCCTTAGTGGGCGTCATGGCGACCAGTTGTTCTGGTCGTCACAGCATTCTGTTCACTGGCCTTTTATATATAAAGATTCTATCTTCAGAGCCAGAGTGATCATTTAAAAATACAGACTGGATCATATCACTGCCCTGCTTAAAACTTTACAATGGCTTCCCATTGTACTTAAAATAAATCCAAACACCTACTTAACTCAGGACCTGTAACATTCTGCTTGATCCGACCCTGTGCCCTCTGCCTACCTCACACCACACTTCCAACACTGTGTTCAGGCCATTTTGGCTTTCTTTCTGTTCCTGTCCACACCCACACATTCCTGCCTCAGGACCTTTGCTTTTGCTGCTCTTTGACTGAAATGCTCTTCCTCTAAATCTTAGCATGAATAGTCCCTTATCCAGATCTCAGCTCAACTGTCATCTCCTTTGTGACCATCTTAACTAAACCTGCCACCCTTGCAGAAATATACAGAATGTACTACCTTTCATGTAAGAAAGGTGGGCAAATATATATCTGCCCTCATACATACTGGAAGGATATCAAATAAACTAATATCGATGGGGAGATTAGGTAGATAGGACAGGGATGCAAGTGTTTGCACTGTACACCATTTTAAAAATAATTTTAAAAAATTGATTTGAGAGAGAGGAGGGGGGAGAGAGAGGAGGGAAGGAGAAAAACATCAATTTGTTGTTCCACTTATTTATGCATTCATTGGTTGATTCTTGTATGCAACCCGCAACCTTGGCTTATTGGACAATGCTTTAACAAACTGAGCTACCCAGCCAGGGCCCTGTATACCTTTTGTTACTGTTTTGATTTCTGAACCATGTGAATGTTACCTATTCGAAAAGTAAAGAAACATGATGTAGGGAAATCAGCATCCCTAAGCAGGGGCCTCCTACCCTTGGAAATGTGGCTGGTCACTGGGCATCACGAGGTCTGCCTCGCCAGAAGGTAAACCCTGAAGGTTGGGGAGTGGCTTCTGATAGACTCACCACTGCCAGCGACCTCTCCACGTGTGTCTCAACTCAGATGATAGAGCCAGAACACAGACAAGGCCCTGCCTCGCGGGGAGGGAACTGACACACCCATGACCTCTCGACACCATCAGGATAGCTTGCTCCACAGCAGTCGACCTGCTTCCAATAGCAGTGGGCTGCCAAGGCCTGGCAGCCAGGGAGAGGTGCAGGGCGAGCTGCCACCGGAGTAGAGGCTGACTCATGCAGCTCCGGCTCTGCGCTCCGCTGGTGGTTGGAAACTGGAGAGGAGGAATAAGCTCCGAGGATGAAGATGAGTGGGGTTTGGTGAGCTGTATAAGCAGTGAGGGGGAAGGGCCAGGAGACTTCACTGACAAGTGTCCTGGTTTGGACAATGGGATTATCCCAGCTAGCCAGGGGTGGCGGAGGGTTAATTGGTATTTACAGAGCTCAGGCAGTAAGGACCATGCAGGAGGATGTCCCAGGAATACAACTGTTAAGAACTCATCTCACTCATTATACTCGCCTGTTCATCATGAACTTCTCCTCATTACTTGCCCCAGGAAGATACAACTGACTCTGGTCTGGCAAGGCTGGTAGAGAAATGACCTACTGCAGATGGCAGCTTTCATATCAAATGCAGAGGACATGGCTGCATCAAAAATTGGTTTTTCCAATAAATCCCAGGAAGAAAAGAGGTCAGTACACACAGTTCCCCACTTCCCATTTGTTCAACAGTAGGCGGGGCCTGCAGGGACCCTGGCTGATTACCCAAAACACTACGCCATCAAAATGCAGAGAGAACTTATCAGGAGAGTCCAGAGGTTTAATCACGGGTTGGAAGACAGAACCTTGTCAGAGCCCCTGCAGAGGAAAGGAAGTTCTCAAGCCACTGTCAAAAGACAAAAACAAAAAACTGACCATTTTATAGCAGAAAAATCTGAGTGACCTTGGGAGAAAATCGGAAGCACTGGACTTCTGGGCATCCACCTCCAGACAGACTCTGGAGCCCTGTTCCTCTTGTAGTGGCCACTGCTCTTCTGCCCCAAACCTCTGTTCTGTGTATGTGTGAAGGGGAAGTGGGGTACTGGGGAGACACAACACAGTGCCTCCCTCCCTTGGTCCCATTACCTATGAATACTTTCTACAAGCTCCACTGCCATCTCTTACCTCACTACACCTGCCAGCAGACCGACTCACCTGGACTGGCTCCTCCAAGACTCCACTGCAAATAGGACAGATAAGATCTTCGTCAACATCCCCCTGGAAGCGGGTTACATCATACCCCATGTCTCATCACTGAAACCCAGGCCCTGGAAGGAACCACAGAGGAAAAAGAGGCCAGTTCAGAAGAAGCCTACAAACAAGTGCCAACTTGAACTCATTGCTAAGATCCATTCATTTGTCCAACAATTATTATTTTAAAAAAATATATTTTTATTTATTTCAGAAAGGGAGAGGGAGAGAGAATAGAAACATCAGTGATGAGAGAGAATCATTGATCGGCTGTCTCCTGCACGACCCCTGGGTTTCAAGCCCGCAACCCAGGCACGTGCCCTTGACTGGAATTGAACCTGGGACCCTTCAGTCTGCAGGCCAATGCTTTGTCCACTGAACCAAACAAGCTAGGGCCCAACAATTACTTATTGAGGGCCTACTATGTGCCAGTGATTTGGGGTGAGTGGGGAGCAGACTCAAGAAATTTAACTCTAATGGGATGTTACACAGCATACATTTAAAATATGAAGTGAGGCTGGCCGGTGTGCTCTGTGGTTGAGCGTAGACCTATGAACCAGGAGGTCACGGTTTGATTACTGGTCAGGGTACATGACCAGGTTGCGGGCTCAATTTTCAGTGGGGGGCATGCAGGAGACAGCTGATTGGTGATTCTCTCTCATCATTGATGTTTTTTTATCTCTTTCTTTCCCTCTCCCTTTCTCTCTGAAATCAATAAAAAAAATTTAAGTGATAAATGCTTTGACAGAGTAAGGCATTGTAAGATTATAAGGGCAAGAGATTTAGATACCTAACCCAGGCTTAAGAGAGAGGGTGATTTTGAGAAGTTTTCTAGGACTAGGTGTCACCACCAGGACAAACAAGAGGTAGGTAGGTGAGGGGATGGGGGCAGGACGGGCATTAGCGTTTTAGCCACTTTCAAAGGCCCAGAAGTAAGAGGGCATATGATGGGTTCAGGGAACTCTAGCGGTTTGGAGAAAGGCTGACCTGCAGGGTGCCAGAGAAGTAGTGTCTAGATACAAGGCTGGAGGTGAGCAAAGGTCAGGCCCTTATATAAAGCGTTGGGACTTCATCCTGGAGCTATGGGAAGCCACTGAAAGACTGAAAAGGAATGACTGGATAAAAGTTCCCTTTTAGAATCACTCTGTCGACACAGGTGGGATTGGAGACAGGAAGGCCATGTAGGCAGGAGAGAGATGATGAGAGTCTGAACTTAGGTGGTGGCAGTGGGAGTAAAGAAGGATGGAGGTTCAAGAGAGCAAGGGCTCAAAGAGCAGTGCGGCTGCCATGCCTCCTCTTAGGGCTCCTAGGGGTCACACCCAAAGAAGAGGTCATGAACAGTGACTGGTTCTCCAGTGTAGACAGCCAACTGGATACAAGACAGCCAATCCACAGACCCACCATCAACTGTGATGTCTTGGAAAAGATAAGCTGAGAGATCAGATTGTTCTCAGAAATTCAGAATCAAGCTGTCCAATTTTTTAAAATATATTTTTATTGAGAGAGAGAAAGGGAGAGGGATAGAGAGATAGAAACATTGATGAGAGAGGAACATCATCGATTGAAGCAGCAACCTGGGCTTGTGTCCTGACCAGGAATTGAACCGGCAATCTCTTTGTTCTGGGTCGATGCTCAACTGCTGAGCCACACCGGCCGGGCATGCTGTTCAATTTTTAAAAGGGAAGGGGAGGGATGAATCCAAAGAGGCCTTGCTAGGTCAAGTACAAGCTAGAATATAGCACTGGATTGAGTCAGAACTGAGATGTGCCAGTTCTACTACTCTTTCATTAGCTGTGTGACCTTGGACAGACCACATAAACTTCTGAAGCCTAAGTAGTTTTTTATAAATAAATAAAATGGATATAAGTAATAATAGAAGTGACTCTCACAGAGTTGCCCTTAAAGAGATAATGCATATTAAACATTTAGCAAAGTGCCTGCTGGCACACAGTAGGTACTCAACACATGATAACAACCATTATTTATGTATGCATCTAATTTCTACTACGTGAAAAAATTCCTTAAGAGCAGAAACTCATATTCTGCATTCAATGTAGCACCAAGCACAGTTCCTCACAAATCAATAAAATGTTTGGTATATTTCAATGTTACCTTTAACTGGGAAGTTCCCAGCAACCAGGGTAAGTGGACTTCTATTTTACCTACAGAACATCTTATTTTCCAGTTTTCCTTTGGGAATCATACCCTAGTTCCCAGTGGACATGTGAACCATCCCAGGACAGCAAATTGGGGGCGCCTGGGACTGCTCCCGAAGCTCTGCAGGGCAGCTCCTTCCCCTGGGATTGCACAGCTGGTGGGATGTACAACTCAGAGTGGTTGGCAACCCTCTCTGCCATGAATGACAGCCTGCTTATAGAGTAAAGCCAGTAAGAAAGTAAAGCTGAGATCGAATTCGGAGATTATTTAGGTGCTGGATTCAGCCATGTGTAAAGCCACAATCAGCTTTTCAACATCAGTTACATAAACCAAAAAATTCTCTATTATGCTCAGGCTGTTTGTGCTGGGTTTTGTCTCTTTCAACTGATAAAAATCCTGATTAATACACAAGCATATGGATACAATAAATCACAAGGTTCTCTTTGGAACCACTTATTTTTCTTGATCCATTTTAGATAGGAACAATGATACCCCCAGACACTACCAGTACAGACCTCCATGACTACCATTTCTCTCTATACTCATTCCTCCGTCTCTAATCCTTAAAGTTCAGGGCCTTGGGCTTCTAATAATCCGTCTGAAATTGTCACTGTCAACCACGTAGGCCTGGCTATTTGAAGTGGAAGCCAGACTGCAGCGGTTCAAAGTGAACAAGAGGTGAGGCAGAGACAGGAACGGAAGATAACGCATCAAAAAGCTTGATTTCAAAGGAAGGGAAAGAGAGAACTCGCTAGAGCAGTGGTTCTCAACCTGTGGGTCGCGACCCCTTTGGGGGTCGAACGACCCTTTCACAGGGGTCGCCTAAGACCATCAGAAAACACATATATAATTACATATTGTTTTTGTGATTAATCACTCTGCTTTAATTATGTTCAATTTGTAACAATGAAAATACATCCTGCATATCAGATATTTACATTACGATTCATAACAGTAGCAAAATTAGTTATGAAGTAGCAACGAAAATAATTTTATGGTTGGGGGTCACCACAACATGAGGAACTGTATTAAAGGGTCACGGCATCAGGAAGGTTGAGAACCACTGCGCTAGAGGAAGACAGGTTGAGGAAGTGGGTTGTGTTGAGGTGTTTTTCTATTTTTTTTTTTCATCTTCAACTGAGGACATGTTTTTATTGATTTTAGAGAGAGAGGAAGGGGGGGAGGGAGGGAGAGAGAGAGACTAATGTGAAGAGAGAAACACTGGTTGGAACCTACACCCTAGGTCTGTGCCCTGATTGGAATCAAACCTGCAACATTTTGGTATATGGGATGCCGCTCCAACCAACCGAGCCACCTAGCCAGGCCAGGGGATGTTTTCCTTGCGATAAGAGGCTTGAGCATGTTTATATATTGAGAGGAAGATAATACAAGAGAGAATCTGGTCACTGAGGTAGTGGTAAGTGGGGAGGTGATCTGGATTATGTTAAATAAAAAGAGGGACACCTTTAAAGCAGGAAGGAAGGAAGATGGTACAAAAAGAGACCCAGATAGGTTTTATTTTTATTTATTTATTTTAAAAATATTTTTATTGATTTCAAAAAGGAAGGGAGAGGGAGAGATAGAAACATCAATGATGAGAGAGAATCATTAATCGGCTGCCTCTTGCATGCCCCCTACTAGGAATCAAGCCCAAAGCCCCGGCATGTGCCCTTGACCAGAATCAAACCTGGAACCCTTAAGTCTGCAGGCCAGAACCAGCTAGGGCAAGACATGTTTAAAAATATCATACCAGGCCCGGCCAGTGTGGCTCAGTTGGTTGAGCATCGTCCCATGCACCAAGAAATCCTCAGTTCGATTCCTCGATTCCTGGTCAGGGCACATGCCCAGGTTAGAGATTCAATCCCCAGAAGGGGGTGTGCAGGAGGCAGCTGATCAATGTTTCTCTCTCATTGATATTTCTATCTCCCTCCTTGTTCTCTAAAATCAATATAAAAAAACATATTTAAAAAAATCATACCACCCTAGCCGGTTTGGCTCAGTGGATAGATTGTCGGCATGCAGACTGAAGGGTCCCAGGTTCGATTCCGGTCAAGGGCACATGCCTGGGTTGTAGGCTCAATCCCCAGTGGGGGGCCTGCAGGAGGCAGGCAATCAATGATTCTCTCTCATCATTGATGTTTCTATCTCTCTCTCTCCCTCTCCTTTCCTCTCTGAAATCAATAAAAAATATATTTTAAAAAATCATACCAATAAACTTTTAAAAATCAAATAATTACTTATTCATTTTAATGAACAATAAAGGTATAGCTAAGTGATTATGGTAATATGAGTCCATTTGATGGAATAATGTATCTATTTTAAATGATATTTCTGGGGAATATGCTATAACATGATATAATAATAGATGAAAAAAGTAGGACACAAAATTGAACACCTATCTGTTTAAAAACATATCATGCCCTAGACAGGTTGATCAGTGGTTAGAACATCGGCCCTCAAACTAAACAGTCTCAGGTTCGATTATGATCAAGCGCACATACCTCGGTTGCAGGTTCCATCCCTGGCCCTGGTGGGGGAGTATGTGGGAGGCAACCAACCGATGCCTCTCTCTCACATTGATGTTTCTCTCTGTGTGTCTCTCCCCCTCCTTTCCACTCTCTCTAAAAATCAATGGAAAAAATATCCTCCAAAAAAACCCAATAAAACTCTCCTGCCCTAACCGGTTTGGCTCAGTAGATAGAGCGTCGGCCTGCGGACTGAAAGGTCCCAGGTTCGATTCCGGTCAAGGGCATGTACCTTGGTTGCGGGCACATCCCCAGTAGGAGGTGTGCAGGAGGCAGCTGATAGATGTTTCTCTCTCATCGATGTTTCTAACTCTCTATCCCTCTCCCTTCCTCTCTGTTAAAAATCAATAAAATATATATATATTTTTAAATCTTAAAAAAAAAACTCCCCCCAAAACATGTCATATATTTATAAATAATCCACACATAAAAAGAGACCAGAAGGAAATATCAAAATGTTAACAGTGGTTTATTTGGATATAGAACTATAAGGACAATGTTTTTCTTCTATTTTTTTTAAAATTTATCGATTTTTTTAGAAAGAGAGAAACACTCATTTGTTGTTCCACTTATTTATAGATTCATTGGTTGTTTCTTGTATGTGCCCTGACCAGAAATCTTAGCGTATGGGGATGTTGCTCTAACCAACTGACCTACCCAGTCAGGGCCTCTTCTATTTTCTTTTAAAATTGATTTTAGAGAGAGAGGTCCCCCCAAAAGCATATACCTTTTCCCTCTTCCAGGAACTTGGCCTAAGGAAATAATTACACAAGGGTATAAAAACAATACACCAGGTTGTTTATCTCTAAGCACTGCTTATAATGGCAAAAAAAAACCCAACCCACAACAAAACAAAAAACCAACACAAATATCCAGAATGAGATACCATGTAGCATTAATGGCTTAGCTATATTTGCTTCTTATTCCTAATTTACTTGCTATATTTATGATTTATATACTAAATAAATTAACATTTATGCATGTCATATATGCTATAGTGCCATTTTTGTTAAAGCCCGGCTGGTGCTGCTCAGTGGTTAAGCATTGATATATGAACCAGGAGGTTACGGTTCAATTCCTAGTCAGGGCACATGCCCGGGTTGTGGGCTCCATCCCCAGTGGGGAGCGTGTAGGAGGCAGTCGATCAATGATTCTCTCTCATCATTGATGTTTCTGTCTCTCCCTTCCTTCTCTGAAATCAATTTCAAACACACACACACACACACACACACACACACACGTTGTTAATCCTTGCCGAGGATATTTTTCCATTGATTTTTAGGAAGAATGGAAGAGAGGGAAAGACAAAGAGAAACATCAATGTGAGAAAAATACATTGATTGGTTGCCTCCTGCACAAGCCCTGACCAGGGTCCGGGCCGGGGAGGAGCCTGCAACCAAGGTAAGTGCCCTTGACTGAAATCAAACCCAGGACCCTTCAGTCCACAGGCTAACGCTCTATCTACTGAGCCAAACTGGCTAGGGCAATATATATATTTTTATAAGTATGTTTGTAGGAGGACTGGAAGAAATTAATTAAAGAACATATATGCATAGCCCATGGACACAGAATAATAATGTGGTGAAGGCCTAGGGGTGGGGCTGGATGGAGGGGGGGCAAAATGGGAGAAAATGGGGGACATCTGTAATAGTGTCAACAATAAAAAGAGTATGTTTATATTTATGTGTATACACATTTAGCATACTTATATTGGAGAACATCTAGGACATATATTAGAGAAACTGTCTCTAAATGTAGACTTTTAATACTTTGAAGTTCAGAGTTTTGCTTTGTTTCCCCTTTTCCAACAATGATCATGTTTTGCTTATATAATTAAATAATAAAGTCAACATTTATTGAGCAATATTACATGCTAAGCACTATTCTAAGCATTTTTTAAAAAATATGGACCGCTGCACGAATTTTCCTGTTATCCTTATGCAGGGGACATGCTAATCTTCTCTGTATCGTTCCAATTTTAGTATATGTGCTTAAGAAGCGAGCACTAAGCATTTCTTATATATTAATTCATCTAATTCGTACAATTATATGAGTTACTCTATGAGGTAAAGACTGCCATTACCCATATTTTACACATGAATAACAGATGCACAACACAAAGGTTAAAAGACTTGTTTAGTCCCGGCCAGTGTGGCTTAGTTGCTGGGCGCTGTCCCATGCCGAGAGGTCGTGATTCCCAGAGGGCACAGGCACGTGCCCAAGTTGCCAGCTTGGTACCTGGTGGGGGGCATGTAGGAGGTATCCAATGGAGGTTTTGCTTTCTTTTTTGTTTTTTAAATATGTTTTTATTGTTTTTTTATAGAGAGAGGAAGGGAGAGAGAGAGATAGAAACATCCACCAGCTGCCTCCTACGTGCCCCACCCTGGGGATCAAGCCTGCAACCCCAGCCCGTGCCCTGACCGGGAAATGAACCAGTGACCTCTTGGTGCATGGGACAGTGCTCAACCACTGAGCCACGCCAGCCTGGCCGGTTTCGCTTTCACATCAATGTTTCTTTCTCCCTCTCCTTCCTCTCTTTCTGGAAATCAATGGAAAATCTTAAACAAAAAAACACACAAAAAAACTTGCCCTAACCGGTTTGGCTCAGTGGATAAAGCGCCGGCCCGAGGACTGAAGGGTCCTGAGTTCAATTCTGGTCAAGGGCACATACCTTGGTTGCGGGCTCGATCCCCAGTAGGAGGTGTGCAGGAGGCAGCTGATGGATGTTTCTCTCTCATCGATGTTTCTAACTCTCTATCTCTCTCCCTTCCTCTCTGTAAAAAATCAATAAAATATATTTAAAAAAACAAAAACAACTTGTCCAAAATCATACAGCTAGCAAGTGGTTCAGCCAGATTCAAACCTAGGCAGACTGGCTCTAGAGCCCAAGCTTTTAACCACTTTGCTGATCTGCCTCTCAAACTGAAAAATGCAAGTTGCAAAAACAGTATGTATACTATGACCCCATTTTCACAAAAACAATTTTAAAAAGAAAAATAAATATATGTAGTGTACGTATTACACATGCTGAGATTATACTTTCAATCTAGGTTATATATTTCTGCAAGGTTTAATTTTTTAAAAAAATCTGTTATCCTTAGAGCAAGGGGTAAAAATTAAAATGACATTACCTTTGCTATGTAGAAAATTGGCCTAGAGATTGTACTGTGCTTCACTGAACTTTTCATTTTAAATCAAAACTGATAATATTGTCTTAAGGAGGAATATAAATTCTAAAAACCTATCTTAATGGGGCCTCAGGAGATCCCATATCCCCAAAATAAACAGCGGAGAACTTGCCTCAGTTGGTGCAGAGATGGCCAGAGGGTGTGGGAAGCCACCGGCCAGGGTGAGGGGCTGCAAGGTTCTCACCATAAAGTCAGGGTTTACAGAACTACAGAGATGCTGGGCACTGTTCTTTCTAAATCAAACACACTCCTCTTCCCCCTCCCTG